ATAAGACTAAGAGCTAACACGAGAGAGAGAGAGAGAGAGAGAGAGAGAGAGAGAGAGAGAGAGAGAGAGAGAGAGAGAGAGAGAGAGAGAGAGAGGCTGAATGGCAAAATTAAAATATGGGTCAAATTGCGGCCGCAATCTATTTCGCAGTTGGAATGATTTTTTTAAATTTATGTAGCATTTTTCCTAGAAAGATCACAACAAAATGTACGAGTACTCCAATTTTCAGGTTTTTTCACGCATTCTTCTGAGTGCGAAAACTCACTGAATTTGGAGTACTTTTTTAGTTGGCCCAGACATGGCTGAGTGGCAAAAATGGAAAATGTGCTGAATCGGCGCGACGATTATTTCGCAGTCTAAATGATTTTTTGTAAATGTTCTATTATTATTTCTGGAAAGAACACGACCTCATTTATGGATTTTCAAAATTTCAGATTTTTGTGCATGTTCGTCTGAGCACARAAAATCGCCAAAGTTGCCTCTGGCAAAACGCCTGTTTCGCTGTGCCTGACCTCTCTGTTTTGAGAAGACGGGGCTCAACGCCTGGGCCTGAGGGCCCTTTTGCAGTTCACATGCCCTCACTTCTTTTTGGGGTCCGCTTCTACCCGAGGACCGGTCCAATGCCCCCCACTTCTTTTTGGGGTCCACTTCCACCCGAGGACCGGTCTTTAGTTTTTCCAAAAGTCCCTGCAATTTTGGCAAGGACCGGTCCCCCAAATTTTTTTGCCCCCCACTTCTTTTTGGGGTCCACTTCCACCCGAGGACCGGTCCGTAGTTTTTCCAAAAGTCCCGGTTCTACCAGAGCTAGCTGTAGGTAGTCCGCAATTTTGGCAAGGACCGGTCCCCCCAATTTTTTTGCCCCCTAAGAACCCACTTCGCATCCTGGTCGCCCGCCACCAAAAATGCCACACCTTGACAGCCCACTATATGGCAGCCTAAGGGCTGCGAATTGATCCCCACTCGCTCCTGAATATACCGGCAGATATTCGATTTTCAAGTGGGGAAGGGTACCGAGGGTGTAATTGAAGGCGATCCACGTGGCACTGTCCTACGGTCCGGTTACTTTCTGTTCTACTTTTGTATGTTGACGGGGTTCTTTGTGCGAGGGTTAGGGGGTTTGTCACATATGGGCATGGTGGGCGTGGAGGTTGTTAGGGGTTTGGTTGGAGGAGGGGGTGAGTGGAGGGTGTGGTTAAGAGCTAGAAGGTCTACTGGGAGGTGAACTGGGTCGGGGTGTGTGTGTGTGTGTGTGTGTTTGATGCCGGGTTGAGGTTGCGGAGGGAGTTTAAGGATTGCGGAAGTATCGAGGGTTCCGTGCGCATCACATAAGGGTGTTACGGAGGGGGATGGTGGGAGGGAAGGTCGTGATCACGGCGAAGAGGTGAGCACGAGGCGACGTGTAAGGGTGTATTGGTGGGGGATGGTGGGTGGGAAGGTTCGAGTTCACCTTCGTGTGAGGGTGGGCATGAGGACCGCTTGTGAGGGAGAGAAAAAACAGAGGGTGTACGGTATCAAGGGATGCCTGCGTATGTGTATATGAGTGTGTAAGTGTGCGGATTAGTATGTATGAATGTGTAGATGTGTGTATTCAAGTCTATCATTTCTGTGTGTGTGTGTGTGTGTGTGTTGTCTGTGTGCTTGTCTGTCGGCTTGTGTTTGTGTGTGCGTCTGTGTGTGTGTTTTGTGTCTGTAGACATTCGTGTGTGCCGCAGTTCCGTTGGGAAACGAGTAAAAAAGTGCTTGTGTGAGTAATGCCCTAATTCTGGTTATTCTCCTCCCTGCTCTCTCCCTTCCCTTTGCCCTTAACTTGCTGCCAGTGCGCATTCCGTGAATGTGATCAGTCAACACAAAACAATGATATTTACAGATAAAAGCACTGGATGACAAGTCTCCCTAAACAGAAAAAGAAAAAAGAAAAGGTAGGTCTCCCTAACTACCCCCTACCACCAGCGCGATCTCTACCAGCGTAATCAACATCCATTGCTCGGGATTACCACCGTAATCAGCATCCACTGCTCTTGACTGTAATCACCACGCCGGTCTATTGCAGGTGGATGACTCTAAAACCTCGTCGACACCACCTATCAAACCTCTACACGTTGTCTGCGTGGGCATTAGTCTATCTGTCTGTTCTTCCCCGCGCGAGATCACCATGTAAACTCTCGGCGTGACGGGCGTGAACTCTCGGTGACTGTAAGCAACCTCAGCTGCCGAAAACTGCGATCAACAAGCCTTGAGTACGGTGTCCAACCTCTCTCTCTCTCTCTCTCTCTCTCTCTCTCTCTCTCTCTCTCTCTCTCTCTCTCTCTCTCTCTCTCAACCTGTAATCTCTGTATCTGATCTCTACCTCTGTGGACACACACACACACACACACACACACACACACACACACACACATATCATCGACTGGCTTATGTGTACCTTGTGACTTCACATAAATTAAGTGCGTCTTTTTGTACGTCATGCGGAAACAAGTACATTTCCACGACAGCCTCATCCTCTTGCTTGTGTGTGGCACGCGCGCGCGGGAGAGAGAGAGAGAGAGAGAGAGAGAGAGAGAGAGCTCCTTAGCGGGGGGTGGAAAGGCGCACGCGATGTGTGTGTGTGTGTGTG